GCTTCCAATACAGATACATTTAAAATGCTACATTTGTTTTAAGACAGGAGATAGAGTTTTAAAAAGCAAATGAGAAATCCATATTGTCAACAACAAACAAACAAACGTGTGTCTCTATGTGTCTTTAAAGTGTGATAAATCACCTGCATGCAAAATGTGTTTTATATGTGATGTTGCATGTCAGAGTTTCATATTTGATGTCTTAAATCTTAACATGAAAGTTTCATAAACCACATGTGCCTGAATGTGATTTTTTTTTTTTTTTTTTTTTTTAAATGTGAAAACATGAATCATGTGAAATGTCTTTCCTTCATCTGTTATCCTTTAAATCTGTGGCTCCACCAATAAAAGTAAAGGAAATATCATAAAAGCAGACTGTGATCAGTTCCGAGCAGGACGGTGCCATAAACACAAGCTGCGCGACACTGACACACATTTATTGTTCTGAAGACATTGTTGGTTAGCACATGGACCTAATACTCTAAAGCCAGGTGAACACTGGGACATTAAAATGACATTAAAACAGGACTGATGTTGGTCAACACGTGTCTTTTCTGTTAGATGTTTACAGGCTTTGTCATCTCAGCGTGTAGTTTGGAACGCTTCAAACAAATAATTCAGTTTTAGCCTTCTGCTAACTGGGGCTAAAGACTCATGGCTGCGGACATGCGGACATCCCCATCTGCTGCTGTCCACTACCCCCCAGTGATACCCAGAGCTGGGGGATTTGCACTGGCTGAATCTGAGCTGCTAAAGTCTCGGTCTCCCGAGCTGTTGCCCACTCTCATACTCAGGAGGCAGTCTACAGCAGTAGGGAGTGAGGTGGAGGGACCATGGGGTGGCTGGCAGCTTATTCTTGTTTGATTTGTAGTCGTGTTCTCATACTAAGACCTCATATACCGCCACTTTGTTAGTGGACAAAACGTCAAAATATGAAGCCCTGGGTAGCCCTCTGCATCATTTTTATACATAAATAGTCAAACTGGGGAATTTTCTGCCCTTCCACGTGCATTATTTGGACATTCTGGGACGGTCTTTTCAAAAATACACTTTCATTTTCACAGGAAATGCACAGCTTCCGCTTGTTACCTCCATAAAGTCTTTTTCAAAACAAACTTAAAAAATAAATAATTTTAAGTCTGACTTCCTTAAGTTTAGGCAACAAAAGCACCTGGTTGGGTTTAGGGGAAAAAAACGACATGGCAACGGTTGTCACTACCGTATCATGCTTCACATACTAGCGCACTACTTTGTTATTGACATCACTCCATTGACTTTTGGTTTCACACGGGAAACAAACAACAGGCTCCCAGGTGAAAGTCTGAAGTTTGTTTGACCCATCCTGCCCGCCCTGTACGGTCTATCTCTATTTTTATACTACACAATAGTTCAGTCAGGAACACTTTATTCAAAGGAAATTTTATTTCCATTTGCAATCTTATATTTGACAGTATGGCTCTGTTCTGGGGCCTCTCTGCCTTTCCTCGGGCCTACACAGAACGCCTGAGGCAGAGAGAGCAAACCTCTCTGCCCTTCCACATGCAAACAAGGACAGCCTGAAGCAGATAGAACAAACGTGTCTATCTGCAACAACAAACAAATGTTTTTTGTTCTGTATTTGTAAACCTGTTCAAGAGCCTCTTACTTCATAGAAGTCTCAATTTTTCACCCAGTGTAAATAAACATGTACGATCCTGATGGGCAACAGGAAGTTTGCTTCTCATGGACCAGAAATCTGACGCCACTCTGTGTCAGGTGAAGGCTTTCATCAGCATCTCATCTCCTATCATATCGTTTCCCCTGATGAAACGCTGACACTGTCGGCTAAATGCAGACAGGCGAGTGAAGATGAGAGGATGATGCAGAGTGCTGCTGTGGCTGTTAAATCTACCAGGTGCCTGTTAGGTTTGGATTAAATCCTATAAAACCCCTCTGACAGCTGAATGAGACAGTCCAAAGCTGACACTTAACTTAGACGTGTTTTATGTGTCACCTGCGAGTTTTCTTCATTTAAGATGGTACAAGTGTGAAATCTTATGAGACGTACTCTGTCCCTGTTTCTCCCCAGCACCTACAAATATCAAAGGACGAATCAGGTGATAGATTTTTTCTCCTTGTCAGTGAACAGACTTAAAGGTCCAGTGTGTGGGATGTAGGGGGATATATTGGCAGAAATGGAAAATATATAATGACTATGAGAATTGCATTTTAACAGTGGCCACTGTACTTGGACACCCATCTGAAAGACTGAAAGCCACAGACAGGAAGTCACAAAGTACTGACTAACATATTGTTGGTTTGAGTCCACACATGAGATTTGCTGACAACAACAAAACTGTAGAATATCAACAGCCTTGTCCTTATGGGAACTCTCCCGGCTCTGTGGTTCCCCGTTTGTCCACCAGATGTCCTCAGAGTCCTCTGCCCTTTGACAGTCACCTGTTCTGCTCTTCACTGCACACCTGTATCTAATTCCTCCGTTACGCTCCAGGTTGTCGGTGTTGCAGCATGTCGGAGTGTTTCAGCAATCCTGTCCTGCTGGTAACCTACTTCTGTATGTCTTATCTGCCTGTTACATGTGTCGCTGATCTGCTACAAGTGTGTGTGACCAGGTTCTTCTCTTATCCTTGATGTTTTTGTTTTGTTTTTTTGGTGAATTGGGGCCTGTTTTTAGACAAAGTCCCTGTAGTTCAGCCACCCTGAAGGTGTCTGCATTGCGTCATTTTCACACCTGACTTTCCCTGGAGTTTGACACTTAATATTGGATTTTAATTAAATTTACCAAGGGGGTCTTTTTAAGACGTTCTAGTGGACACTGAGGACGTACTGGGGGTCATTAAGGTGATGGAGGTACTTTTAGTAGGTTTCAGTAATCACTGGGAAGATTCTACAGGTCCTTTAGTTGATTCTAGTGGTCCTTTACAGGGTTCTAGTGGTCACTGGAAAGGTTCTAGTGGTCCTTAAGAGAATTTCTTGGCACTTAAGGTGATTCTAGTGGTTACTGGTGAGATTTTGGGGGTCTTCTGGGATGTTCTTTGGTACTTTAGGTTATTCTAGCGGCCATTGGTAAGGTTATTGGGGTCTTTAAGTACAGTTGTTGTTACTGCAGGTAATTCTAGTGGTTATTGGGGAGGTTCTGGAGGTCTTTCAATATGTTCTTTGGTGCTTAAGGTAATACAAGTGGTCATTAGAGGGGGTTCTTCGGGTCATTTAGGATGTTCTTAGGTACTGTAGGTAATTTTAATGGCCATATGGGAGGTTCTGGGGGTCTTTTTGGACATTCTTTGGTAGGTTAGGTCATTCAAGTGGTCTTTGCGGAAGTTCTTTATAGGATGCTCTTTAGTACTGTAGGTATGTCTCGCGGTCATAAGGGATGTTGTGGGGGTCTTTCCGAATGTGTGGGTCACTTAAAGTAATTCTTGGCCATTTGGGAGATTCTGAGGCTCTTTTAGGATGTTCTTAATTTAGTGGTCATTGAGGAAGTTCAGGGGTTATTTTAGGACATTTGGGTAATCCTAGTGGTCATTGGGGAGGTTTTTGAGGTCTTTTAGATTGTTCTTTGGTACTTTCGGTAATTCTAGTGGCCATTTGTGAGGTTCTGGGGGTCTTTATTCTTTGGTATGTTAGGTGATTTAAGTAGTCATTGGGGAGGTTCTAGGGTTCTTTTAGGGCATTCTTTGGTACTGAAGGTAAGTCTAGTGGTCATTTGAGATGTTGTGGGGGTCTTTCAGGATGTACTGATTACTTAAAGTAATTCTAGTGGTCATTTGGGAGGTTCTGGGGTTCTTTTATGATGTTCTTAGATGCTGTCAGTAATGTTAATGGCTATCTGGGAGGTTCTGGGGGTCTTCAATAACATTCTTTGGTACATTAGGTGAATTAAGTAGTCATTAGGGAAGTCCTGGGGGTCTTTTAGGACATTTAGGTAATCCCAGTGGTCACTGGGAAGGTTTGGGGGGTCTTTCAGGATGTTCTCTGGTACTTCAGGTAATTCTAACGGTTAGTTGGGAAGTTCCTTGGGGTCTTTAAGGATGGTTTCGTTTACAGCGTTGCTCTATTAAATTCTCGATCCTCTTTCTTAGTCCTGTCTTGTGTGTGGTACGTAGCCACAATATATGTGGTTTTTTCTTTACACGTTTGTACTTTTGCCACAGTACCAGCACCTTGACTTCAGCCGTACATGGGCATTTTTCTATTTTTGATGTCTTTAAGGATGTGTTGGTTACCATAAGGTGATTGTCGTGGTCATTAGAGAGGTTCTGGGGGTCTTTAAGAACATTCTTTGGTATGTTAGGTGACTCTTGTGGTAACTGAGAAGTTCTAGTGGCCACAGAAAAGCTTCTTGGGGTTCTTTAGGAAATTCTAGTGATCATTGACAAGTTTCAATGAGTTATTAAAGTAATGCTTTGACATTTTGATTTTTTTTGTTAACTCTGCTTTTTGATGAGGGTTTGATAAGAAGATTGATACCACTATTATTCTTCTTGAAATTGTGTCTGCATTTGTTTTATTGATCTGAGGAATGCTTGTAAAGAGAACAGCCATGATGAGAACAAGATAATCCTCAGCCTCCACTGTGATGGAAGATAACACAGCTATAAAATGTAATGGCAGGAAAACATAATGGGGGCAAAGGGACTGAGCCGGACTCGGAAACACACTGCGACCACAGCTGCACAGAGGCTGTTAGATAGCCGAGAGTGGAATACAATAACCTATATTCATACATAGACTGACCTTTTAATATCTGACGATCCATCTTTCTGTCTTTCATCTGTCCACCGAATTGAGCGATGAACTAAAATAACCCTACCTTATCTCCTTTCCTTCGTTTCTACCTTTCCTGTCTCCTTCCTTTCTTTTCTTTACATCTCCCTCAATTGTTCCTCTTTTTCTCTGGCTCTTCCTCCCCCCTCTCCTCTCTCTTTTCCTGTCTCCTTGCCCTCTCGTCTCTCACTTTCCTTCCTTCCTCCCCCCCACCTCCACCTCCCAGCTCTCCGCCCAGACAGACCGCAGTCAGTCCAACAGCAGCACACCAACAACACAGCAGCACCACAGTTGTCACACATTGTAATTCACCTGCGGGTGGATTTAGAAACGGAGCGGAGCATTCACCTGTCGGACCAGAGAGCTGCTTTTAACTCCTCTGAATCACATTTAAAGGACTTTACCTGCTGGACTCCGTCTGAACTGAAGTGGAATTACAGCGCAGTTTGGCGCGTGGTGGATAATGTGGACTGCTGACAGGACGCACGCGCTCACGTCTGACAGGTGAAGTTTGGATAATGATGGACACCTTGAGGTATTATTTCCCTGTTTGCAACAATAAGCATTTTTAAACTTTCAAACAGGGTTTTTCCTGGAGCACCTTCCCAAAGGACTGCCGTGGAAACCAGCCTCCACAGCAACTTATATTTTAACAATTGGCGACGAGCGTTTTTTTTTTCTTAACGTACGTTAAAGTCTGACATTTTCCTTAAATATTTTCTCCCATCAGAGGAACAGAAAAACGGATTTAACGTTTGCTGTCATAGTAACGGAACACCGCGCGCAGCTCACTCGCTGCCAGGAAAGGCACGCGCCGGGCATGACTTCGCGGGCATGGGTGCTGAGCTAGTTTCCCATCACCTCCTGTGCTGTTTATCATCACCACAACTAACAGAGAAGATGAAGAGGAGAGCAGACAGCCGCTGAGGTACAGAGAACAGTCCCTTTATAAGTGATATCACTGTATTGATTAACATCTGAGAGGTCTGACCGCTGCAGGCTTCCGTCCACAGGGAGCTGATGCTTTCAGGCAGCGCGTCTATCCATTACAAATCCATGGCAATAGAGTATGGAGGGTTGTTAGTGCCAGTAGAGACCGTATCTGATTGGGTCTGTAAACCAGCAAGTTGAATATTTGGAAATGTATTTGAAGTGTTTGTAGCCTAATACAATGAGTGATGATTAAGTGCGGAATTATAGGAGCACATTAACGTTTTTAAAAATCTTGTGTTATAATAATTAGAATGATGCTAATAATAAAGTAGCACCATTGTACAAGAAATGCAGCACAAACTGCTTTACAATAAGGGCAATCAGCACATTCTCACATATCGTCACCATTCCACGTCGTCCACATACGACATCCAAGGTACCCTGGGTGTGCTGGCTGTTGATGTTCTGGGTCGCCGTGTCAACTTCAGCCTGTTACATGCATTGTCTGTTTTCAAAATACACTTCTGTTTTCACAGGAAATGTACATTTACATACAGTCTCTTTCAAAATAAAAGCAAAACATCAACCCCAATTGGTCCCACCCACCCCAGTCGGACTTTTGCTGCCTTAACTTTTGTCCTTGTTCCGCCATGTTTCCCCCTGACACCGCTAAACAGCAACAGGATGCGCATCATGCCGACGTTAAAGGACGCCTTTTTTATTGGTTTCTGACGCTGCAAATCACTGCCCAGTTCCCAGATAGAACTGTTGGTGGGAGCTCTGTTCTCTGCAGTTTCTGCAGTGAGGAATTTTCGTACCATCTGGGAACTTCAGGCCTGAAATATCACCTCAGTGCAAAACATTTAGCAGCAAACCCGGAAGTCCGAGCAGGCACACTCTGACATTAACGCTAGCAGTCAGTTTCATCAAGCCACACTTGACCAGACGTTCAGACGTTAACCGAGTAAGTCTACCTGCGACCGACGAACTAACTCCCTTACAAAATGGATTGAAGACCAGTTTGGGTGGTAGAGAACAGGGGGACAACTGTGTCCAAAATCCAGCAGCTTTACAACACAGCTTACAAAATTCATTTGAATTGAAGTTTCTTAAATACTTTCACAGCAAAAGTTCATGTACGTGATTAATTTAAATTAATCAAACACAGAGCATGTAATTAATTAGATTAATTTTTTTAATCGCTTGACAGTCCTAATGATTACATCTGCCTTTTTTTTAAATGAATTTTGACTTTTGGACTTAACAGTGCTCCAAAGTTATTGGTCCTCCATCAGCTGTGTTGGTAACACGGCGCTCAAAACTACATGTGAAGTTTGCAGCTGTAGGAGTTTACTCTGTATAGCAGTCTTGTGTTTATATCTGGGGTATATATTTAGTTTGTGAAACCCAACCATCTCTGGATAGTATCAAGCTCATGTTGGCCGGCGGACTCAACATGAGAACTTTAAAACGTGTCTGTTGCAGGTCGTTACTAAGGTTCCATGGACATGCTGGAGCAGTAAACTAGGTTCCCGGATTTAAAACAATGCAGGATTCACGCAAATAAAATGAGGAAATTTTAAGATGATACAATGAACAAAAAATAAAGATAAAATACCATCACTGAGCAGATGAGCAGAACGAATTGCCCTGTAGGTTGCACTGAGGTACAGCAAATCAAACAGTTAGTGTGACACAAAATAAAAGAATACAATAACGGATGACAACACAAGATAAAAACTAAAAAAATAATCAACTGTGACACGTACAAAAAAAATTTCTTAATATAAGGCCCCAAAAAGTCTTAAATTGTCTTAAATTCAGATTTGATGGGTCGTAAATAATTTTGGTCACATTACAGCGTAAACTTCTCCAGCCTGACAGACACAGTGACTGTTTACAATCATTGGACAGACCGAAGAATTGCAATAGTAAATAGCATTTATGACAGAGATGACATTTTGTTTTCTTTTCACATTAAACACATTAAAATTAAACTCACCCAATTGTTGTCATTTTTAGTAACTGTTCATTTTTACCTGACATCAGTGTGGTTACTTGGAAAGAGAACCTATGCATGTGAGTCACACACATATATAAGGTGGTATTAAAAAGGTCTTAAAAACTCTTAAATTTTACTTGGTTATATCTGCAGACACCCTGACGTCCAATGTGAAGCCTGTATTTGATCAGGTGACGATACTATAAAATATACACTAGGACTGTGTCTCAAATCGCGCACTTCTGTACTTACACTTAATATTTTGAGTGCATAAGTGTGTTCACACTGGAAAAACGCAGTGCACTATGATAGGGTGACCATATTTTGATTTCCAAAAAAGAGGACAATCGGCCGGTCACGACATAGCCTATTTAAATGATACTCGCAGTTTACTCAAAGATGTCTTATCATTTTAATATATTTAAAATTTATATGTATGGATAGAAAATTCAGTTATATTACAAAATAATATCTCTCAAAGACAGAAATTCAGATAGGCCCCTATAGATAGGGGACACATACACACACTAGAGTGTCGGTCGGGCCGGGTTTGGTCAAAAATGTAGCTATAAATTGTATTCGGGCTCGGGTCGGATTCGGTCAGCTTTGAGTGAAAATGTAGTGTAAAAATAAATAAAGTCCTATTGTTTGTCCTGTTTATTGCTTGGGCTCTGTTATTTACGTGACAACACCTGAACATAACACACACAGACACACATTGGCTGTTTGTTTCTACCTCTCCCCTCGCTGGAAATCTTGGACCTCCAGCCGCCCGCCTTCGCCTTGATTAAACGCTGAAGATAAAATAAACGAAGGAGACAGGTTTTTCCTATTTTATCTTATTTTGTTTTATGTCTCCCTCTTCTCTCGCTGGAAGCGTCGGACCTCCCGCCTCCTGCTCCCGTCTCAAATACGGAGGTCTCCCTCTCCGATGAGCACGCCCGGCCTGTTAAATAGCCTGTAACCGTAACAACTGTGTGACACAAACTCAGGGCTTTGGTCATTAAATAATGTCGGTCTCGGTTCGGGTTCGGACAGAAATATACGGCCCGTGCCACACTCTAACACACACACACAAACACACGGAAAACCGGACATTATCATCAGTTTATAAAAACCCCCCGGACGCCCCGGACGGGACGTGAAAAGTGGACATGTCCAGGCAAAAGAGGACGTTTGGTCAGCCTACACTATGAGTACCCGGATGGTGCACTCAAAACGGTCAAGAAGTTGAGTGTGGAACTATGGACACTTCTCGCCCTCAATGGTCGCCATCTTGGCTACATAGTGGAAGGGGAGGGACCACTTTTAAAACAGGAAATAGCAGCTGAGGACTGTGTGACCGTGAACGTTGCTGCGTTGTACAAATACATGTGTATTTTGCACTAAGCACCACTATACTGTTGTCGGATGTAAGCCAGCAGTATGTTTGTTGGGTTAATTTAGCAGTCTGTAATGATTGAGTACCGTGACCGATAACACGAATGCCAATGCTAGTTTGCTAACTAGCTAATTTGCGGTCGGCACAACAGCCGTGTTTGGTTTGAGACAACACTACCCTGTGGAAATTTGCGCACTACGCCAGTGAGTACATAGTGCACATAGTACATGGAAGTGTACTAACGGAAGTATGTGATTTGAGACACAGCATAGCTGTTTCGCACTCGGGGCTGTCATCATAGCGTGCACTGGGGCATCATAACGACCGTACGCCACTGGTCAGACCCCGTGTATTTCTATGGAAAGAGAGACATCAGTTACAAAAAGCTTTTTATTTGGGGAACTAATTTCCCCTCAACATGACTACATTTTGACTATGTTTTATTTTGTTGGTAATAGTTGTACAATTGCAATATAACGCCAGAGGGTGTGCTTTAACGTCATTTGTGGCACGACAGTGATGCGGTCAGGACCCATGAGCTTACACATCTCATCTAATATTGTCTAATTCTCACTGTCATTGAACACTGACCTGCTCAGTCAGTTAACACAGCTGAGTCTGGCATTAAGTCTGTCCTTTCTAAAGTGGATAAGAAATTTGAGCACATCCTTCATATTATTTATGACATTTTTTATCACGGGATGACAGTGTCTGAGATGTTAGTGAGGGCAGGCTGCCTTTGAGAAAACACTTTCAGTGTATTACACCAACTCTGTGCTGTAGATGAGGTGGGCAGGGCTGCCAGGAAAATTGTCCTCCCATTCTCCAGCTTCGGGGAGTTTTTCTCCCACGACTCAGCATGGTCCCAAACTCGCAAAGGCCACTCAGGACTGACATGGACAAAATGATTACGGTGAATTCAGCCATGACCAACCAAAGCAGGTCTCAGTGTCTGAATATGTTATTAGATTTTAGCTGCAGGAGGAGGTGAGGCTCATTCTTGGAGCTCAGATAACAGGACTTCATTTATGTTGCATGTTTTGTTAATGTCTCCCGTGTGTGTATCTACAGTTAACGGGGATAAATTATTCAGCTGTGGTGGAAGTGGACAACCTGCTGGGCTGAAGGATGGCTTGTTGGAAGGAGGGCACCATTCTCTTGCTGGTTCTGCTGGTTCTGCTCGACCCACAGCCAGTCATGGGGAGATCATCTCGACATCGCAGCTTGAGACGTCAAACTCGAGGCCACCATGAATACCGGCCGCAGCACAACATCACGCTGGCTGTTATTTTACCACAGACCAACACAGATTACCCGTGGGCTTGGCCTCGCATTGGTCCTGCCCTGGAGCGAGCCATCAAAGAAGTCAACGCCGACCCCACCCTGCTCCCTGACCACCACCTCGTCTATGCTTTCAAGAACAGCGAAAAGGATGGAATCTGCTCCGAGTCCATTGCCCCGCTCGTGGCTGTGGACCTTAAATTTGCGTATGACCCGTGGGCTTTCATCGGGCCTGGCTGCTCCTACACCTCCTCCCCTGTTGGACTTTTCACCACCCACTGGAATGTTCCCATGGTTACAGCAGGTGCTCCAGCCGTCGCCTTTTACGGTGGAGTCTACCCGTCCATCACCAACACAGGCCCCACCCACAAGAAGCTGGGGAAGTTTGCCCTGCGGATCTGTGAGCACTTTGGGTGGCGGGAGCATGTGATGCTTATGTTCAGTGACAACAAGGAGGATGATCGGCCTTGTTACTTTGCTGTGGAGGGTTTGTACACAGAGCTGAAGGGCATCAACATCACCATCGCTGACAGAGTGTTCGAAGAGAACAAGCCGGTCAACTACTCCCAAATCATCTCCGATGTTCAGAACGACGGACGAGGTGAGTCTCCAGACTAAATGTTGGTTCACTCCACTTGGTTCCTAGTAAGTGAGACCTGATCTGAGACCCGAGTCGGAATATATATTAAGGGTCTTTTTACCCCTGAAAGTCCAAACCAGGGGTCATGTTATATTGTCTGCATTTGATCTGGTTAGTTGTTGTTTCTCATGCAATGATGTCAGCGCACTAAAGAACTCTACATGACACACCTACATCCTGTCGTCACCATCTATGTGAGCTGCGTCTTCTGAGCAGGCTTCTCACATAAACTGTACGTTTGTTTTCCTATGAAAAAATAATGCACCCAAATTTGTACATATTCCATATAATCATGAGCAAGTAATTCATGCAGCACCCATGTATTTTTGAAGGCTGCGATCATGTGACCCGCCTGCTGACAGGAGTGTAAACAAAGAAGTGGTCCAGAGTGGTCCATAAGAAGGCAGGTTGGGGTGGTGGTTGGGCCACAAAACACAGGACTTTGTGAAGTTCAACTTAACTATGAGTCATTTTATGGTTCATCCTCACCATGTTTCTTTTTCCTTAACCTGACTACATTAACTTTAACTTAATTATGTAACTGTACGTTAAGCACTTAACATCATTCAGGGGGCACTAATTTGTAAGACATCATACGAACTGTTCTTTGTTTAACTGTGGACTCTAGAGTTGATATGAAGAGGCCCAGATCGTGGATATCATTGGAGGGGATTTGGAGGGGTTAACTGTTTCAACAGCCAATCAGCTTGTAGTGAAGTCCGCTGGTCAAGTCAAAATGACCACAGACTGCGTGTTGGCTTGCTGCAGCAGGTGCTCCATCCCCGCCGAGCCCTCTGTTTCCGTCCTCACAGTGTGCCGGTGTCAGACGGTGGGTCGCTGCTGCTGCTGGCTGTATGTGCTTATGCCCCGCCCACACACACACATTCTCATTGATTGATGAATTGTCGCTAGTTATTTATATTATTGTGGTGTACTGATTATGAATACAGTCCATCTGATGCTGGTTTTGTGTCATCACTGTAGCCAGTATCTCACTATCACTATCCTCATTCAGATTTTAAGAAGCTACAAATTATATTCAGCCACAAAATAAGTCTGAAAAGCTGCAAATCAGAACGGAAGTACAGAGAGTTGTTGACTAGAGATGATACACCGTCTCATGGTGGTCACTTCCTGTCAACGTCACAGATCAGAAGCACAGAGAGTTGTTGACTAGAGATGATACGCCGTCTCGTGGTGGTCGCTTCCTGTCAACGTTACAGATCAGAAGCACAGAGTTGTTGACTAGAGATGATACGCCGTCTCATGGTGGTCACTTCCTGTCAACGTTACAGATCAGAAGCACAGAGAGTTGTTGACTAGAGATGATACGCCATCTCGTGGTGGTCACTTCCTGTCAACGTTACAGATCAGAAGCACAGAGAGTTGTTGACTAGAGATGATAAACCATCTCATGGTGGTCACTTCCTGTCAACATTACAGATCTGAACTGGCAGGTTTTTAGAACGTTGCAGAACGGTGCATTGCAAGCAGTTGCCTCTTTCAGCTCATCTCATTGTGAATCTTTGGTCTGAACTGGGCTTAATAGATCACAGCCATTTTGACTTGTTACAGCACGAAAGCACAGCTGGAATTGATAACATTAACAATGGCTCAGTTCTTTTCAAGTCTGGGTGAGCTATTTCAGTGAGCTAACACACACAATACCAATACCAGGACCTAAAGACATCATGAATGTTACTAAACACACCTTTGCTTTTACTGTCAAAATGTCTGCTGTGAGAAAACGTCTGTACCCAAGTATATGCACGCAGACTCTATCAGCTCTGATTACAGAGTGAACTACAAGAAAAATAACTAGCAGTGCTGCAATTTCTGTGTTTTGGCTTTGTTAGCTGTGATTAGTAGTGACAGTAGAGTTGAAGGGAAACAAGGGGGGGGAGGTGACATGCAGCCAAGATCTCCAGACGTAAGGAAGAAGGAGATGTTGTGGTTACAGTTTATGTTTCTGCAGGTTATGTGTCTGAACCACTCAGCCATCACGCTGCCTTATGTTGCTGCTTTTTAATTGGTGAAGCTTTAGTCTGCTTCCAGGGTTGCTGTTCTCTCTCCGTTTGGCTATAGTCTAATTATCCTCAGGTCAATATGCACCATATTTTCTTCTGAGAATTATTAATTAGTGCTTTGCATAAAACATCAAAAACAGTGCAAAAGAAAGCCAGAAAATATAGAATAAAATTAAAAATATGACTAGGTATGAAATGGAAGAAGTGTAAGAAATATTTGATTTAATAAAAGGCAGCGACAAACAGAAAAGTCTTCAGCCTTGATTTAAGAGAACTGAGAGTTACAGCAGACTGGCAGTTTTCTGGGAGTTCGTTCCAGATATGTGGAGCATAAAAAACTAAACGCTGCTTCTCCATGTTTAGTCTCGACTCTGGGGACACAAAGCAGACCTGTCCCAGAGGACCTGAGTGGTCTGGATGGCTCATAGTGTAGCAGAAGGTCAGAAATGTAATGGGGCTTTAAACTATTCAGTGCTTTATAAACTAACAGTTGTGATTTCAAATAAATAAATTGAAAATCTGTTCTCTGAAAGACAGGAAGCCAGTGTAAAGAACTCAGAACTGGAGTGCTGTGATCTACTTTCTTGGTCTTAATGAGGACTTGAGCAGCAGCGTTCTCAATCAGCTGCAGCTGTCTGGTCGATTCTTTAGGAAAACCTTTCAAGTATACTGAAGACAAATACACAGAGACGTTTTTCCAGATCCTACTGAGACGTCAGTAATTTTATCCTTGATATGTTCTTAAGGTGACAGTAGGCTGACTTTGTAATTGTCTTAATGCGGCTGCTGAAGTTCAGGTCTGAGTCCAGGACTACACCAAGATTTCTGGCTTGGTCTGTGGATTTTAACATTTCCAACTGAAGCCGAGCGCTGACTTGATCGTTTTTCCTTGGCCCTAAAACTATTACCTCAGTTTTGTCTTTGTTTAATTAAAAAAAAAAATTGTGGCACATCCAATCATTGATTTGTTCGATGCACTCAGTCAGAGCTTTTATTGGACCACAGTCCTCTAATGACATGGTGATGGAAATTTGGAAGCTTGTAAGTGTTAAACAGAAGAAGCACCAGTATAGCGCCTTGGGGAACTCCGCATGTCATTTTTGTACACTCAGATATGTAATTACCTATAGTCACAAAGTAGTCACTATCCTTCAAGTAGGAATTTAACCAGTTTAGTACTGTGCCAGAAAGTCCCACCCAGTTGTCCAGTCAGTCCTCTAATATGTTGTGGCCACCCGTGTCAAATGCAACATTGAGATCCAGTAATACTAACACAGAAATTTTGCCACTGTCTGTGTTTAAGTAGATGACATTGACAACCTTAACAAGAGCAGTCTTAATGCTGTGGTTTCGTCAAAAACCTGACTGAAAAACATTAAAGTGTTTGTTTAGTGCCAAGAGGCTTTGGTTTCTATGGTCTAAATTGTTAACTGTGAGAAGGCCTCTGATGCATTGTGTGACTCTGATGTTTGTGGGGCTGCAATTAACCGTTATTGTCTTTATTTATTAATGGCTAAAACCCCTAAGTGTCATCTTCATTATGTTTGTTTTGAGCAACCAACAGTCCACAGGACTTCATTTGAGCCTGAAATAATAAAAAAAAAAAATCATTTTCAGATTCATTTTCTTCCGTCTAAACCACCAATCAACTTATGTCGCAGCTCTGGGTGTTTGAATCCTAAATTTGTTTGGGAGTAGAAATGTAGAGGTGGAAGGGGAGATTTAAAATGCTGGTTTATTCTGAGTGATACAGATCAGCAGATGTGAGCACGACATTAATCCTGTCTTCTATAACAGCAAATGAAAACAAACTGTTTCATGTGTTTTCTTCATTTTAATCAATATGATCCAGGTGAGAACACTTCACTGTGACTGGTTTCAGGATGTCTGTAGTTCTGTGATGTGCTGAAGTGATCAATCAGCTGTGTTTATTGAACGATGCTCTTTTAAGCCTGTTATTGACGTGTGTGGATTTACTGTCTGTAAATGGAATCAATTTTGTCTCAGCTTCTCAGCGTCTCTTGTTTCCAGTAATTTAATCCTAAAGGAAAAAAATTCCCTCAGACACAAACTGTCAGCTGTGAGAAAGCAGGACAGCATCTTCAGACTGCCCTTTCTTTGTTTATTCTTATAGTTGGCACCTCTGTGTGTTTTCATGCAGTAGGTATATCGTCAAAATTCAGTCCGACGTTCACTTGAGTTCTTCCCCGCTGCGCCCCGGCTGCAGGAATTAGACACAGCTCAGATAAAAATGACAAATAACAACACAGAGCAAACTGCAGAGCGACAGAATGAGAACACAGCAGGAGATGAGCGGTCAAAGTGCAGCTGAACCACACGTCTAATCAACACTCATTTCCCCTATATTACCTGAAAATAATCACAGGGTACAATCTTATCACAGACAAACACGTTGGTATGAAGGGCAGCGAGTTCAATAAATGAATGTGGAGCATTTTAACAAAGCAGTATGTCTAATGTACTGGATTAACTTTCCAGTTTCAAAACACCTACCACTTAAACTTTTGATTTTCATCTTTCTTTTTCATGATACCTGATGTTTTAAGCTGCCTCTGGGAACAGTGGATGTCCGCAGCCAGTGCTTTCTTTGTCTTAAGATGCCTTCTGAATTCAACACACTGAATGCATACAGACATTATGGCAGATTTTGAAATTGATTATCTAATTAAGGAGAGAAATTATTCAGATTATATATATTTATGTTTCCCTGTCGTCTTAACTTCTTGATTTTCACCTTAAATTTCCCAACCTGACAACCTTTAAATTATCTTAATTCATGTAGACATGTGGCTATAAGCCTGCCATTGGACGTCTGATTTCAGCCTGCCAATCATCAGTGGTTTTAACGGGTCCAGTGAGTTCCACCTTTGACAGCTTATTTGGCTGATAACTGATGTCAATATATCCACTTTT